TAGGCAAGTGATATCATGGGAAGAGAAGGCTGGAGAAGCAGTGAGACTTCAAAGATACAACTGTGTACTGGGCACAGAGGAATGAGGTTGCAGGACTTCACTTTAAGGTACATGGGGTAGTAGACAACAGTGAGATGTAATTCTGAAACCAAGAACAGGGAGGCAAGGGCCATACAAGGTTCTAGGTGGTCCCTGACTAGGATACCAGGAGTTTGAGAGTGGTCAGAATACTTTGATAACACTGCCACCTTGTGGCTATGAGATGCCTGTCCCACAAAAAAGGAATCTATTGCTAGATCAGTTAATTCTCCTTGGACTGCTGAAATTTGTTAAAACCAATGTCAGTGCTAGTAATAACTTGGTAAGTCTTTATAGTAAACATTACTTCTGATGTTCATTTTTCTGTAAATAAGCCAAGCCAGTGGGTAATGGGACAGCCTGATTCCAAAACTGTGAGTTGGGGGACTCCTGCTGCCCTGGCTGCCTTAAGCACAAAGGCTACCAGTCAAGCAGCCAGCCAGCACTGTCCATTTTAAAAGCTTCATAGACGAAGTGAAGAAAAACCCTTAGGAAGCTAAGGTTCCTGATGGGCAGTCTCACTCAGCTAGCTTTAGCCATTTCAAGTCGTTTACAACAGACTTTGCTATCACAAGCTTAGCTGAACTCTGCAACCATTTACGCATAGGCCAGAGACGGAGCATTTATCTTAGTGACCTAGCAAAAGGAATACTTGTAAGTGGCACAAACACAAACCTTCATTTGCATTTGAGGTGTGCTGGGATTTTTTTTCCATCCCCTCTCTGGCTTTGAGTAGCAGTTTCGTTCACTTAAGTAAACTGAGAGGCAATCACCAGTTCTTGAAGGTAAAGTCCCAGGCCCAACCACTTCAGATAGTTTGCATCAGGCTTTTTACCACCACAACCCTCAGTGGGCTGCGATACCCTATAACCAGGTCTATTCAGGCTAGAGAAGGAGCATTTTTCCTGATGGGCTGACAGAAGGACTGCTGTGACTGGTACAAAAGGGACAATGCCATGATTCATGGAAAACACAAACCTTCATTTGCATAATTAAGGCGCCATCCCCTCTTTGGCTATATAAGCAGATAGGCTAAGAGACACTCTTCTGCCCAATTAGACCCAATAAATGTCTTTCCATAAGCGGTCTTTTCTTGCCCACTTCTGTTAGTGCAGCTGAGCTGCAACACAGAGAGAGAAGCAACAGACATAGCAGAGTGGCAGCAACCAGAGTGAACAGAATGGCAATGGCAGACCAGCCCACAGGCTGCTAAGCAGTCAGGCAGGCAGTAGTCTGCCTGACAGCAAAAGCAGCAGCTGGATAGTTTGAGAGTGGACAGAGCAAGAGAAGAATACACGAGAGAAGAGACTGGACACTCAGATTTGAACAAGAGAGAAACCAGAAGTAGAGAGAGTGGGCCTGGAGAGATGACTCGGTATTCTTCCAGAGAACTGGGGTTTGTCCCCAGCTCCCACTTGATCCCTATAATCATCTGTAATTGCAGTTCCAAAGGATCTGATGCCCTCTTCTGGCCTCCAAGGGCATTGACCGCACAGACACACACAAGCAAACACCCACACACATAAAAATAAATCTTTTTTTTTTAAAAAGATTATAAAGGTTCAGAGAAGAAAAAACTACAGACTCTGATTGCTGGAAGAGTTCCAGAAAACTGCCAACTCATTAAAAACCAACATTCTCAGACACCCTAGGCCAAAAGATGTAAGGTTGGCTAGTATCAAATGCTATGGAATTCTGAGTTACACAAGCTCTCTAACACTTGGAGAGCTAAGAGTCCTGATACCTGAGGCCTGAACAAGGATTAGTCACGAGATTCTAACCCAGAGGCTGCACATGCCTGCTGCCATTGCTCACTGTTGTCAAGCACTGGGGGATAGACAAGTTGCCAAAGACCCTCATAGAAGAGTTTCTCAACTGCCCATGACCTAATTTCTTTTCTTTCTTTTTGTGGCAAAGGGGATTAAATCTAGGGCCCACACTTGTGCAAGCGCTCTATTGATAGGCTATAACTTAAGTATTCTTTCATTTTTATTTTAAGATGGGGTCTCACTGAGTTGCCCAGGCTAGTTCTGAACTTGCTCTATGGCCCACATAGTCCTTAAACTTTTGAGCCTGTGCCTCAGCTTTCCAGTAGCTAGGACTACAGGCCTATGCCCAAAGCTGAATTCTTACCTTTAGTCCCATCCACGTAGAAAAGAGTACAGCATTTGTCTATCTCTTCACAGTAACTCGTGGTCCTCTTGCCACTACTCTAAACATGCCTAAGGCAGAGAAGGTATCTTACTCGACTCTGAAGCAAAGGTACTTAGCGCTGGGCCCAGTACACCAAAATAGTAGTAGTAGCTACTATTAAATAGGTGCTGCCTCTGGATAAATCACATACTGTATTCTATGCAGTACCTATGAGAATTTCAAATGCAAACCACAAGTAGATGGTTATTTCAATACCAGCTAGGAATTCTTGAAATGGCCAATGGCTGAGAAATAATGGCAGGTATCCCCAGCAAAGAACGTCTTTTAAAAACCAATATCTTTCTAATTATAATGTACATGAGACTTGTAGAAAATCTAGCTGGCACACAGGCTCCAATTCTGTAGCCTGCAGTAGGGTCTGGGTTTCTGTGTAGGAAAAACTTCTAGGGAGTGCTTAGCATACTGTTCCACAGACCACATTCTGAAAGGCGAAACCCTGGAAAATGGTCTGAGGAACTATGGCCTGCGGGTTCTGTTTGACCCACGACCTGAGTGAACACACAACAAGATGGAAGTGATACATTAATTTTTAGAGACGTGGAAGAAGAGATGAGATGAGGAGGAGTCTGACACCACCCCTGCCTCAAAGCCTAGAACATTCACGTTGGTTCTCTACAAGAAGAGTCTACAACTCACTATTTATGAAGCCACCCAGGGACAGGATAGACAGTCGAACAAGGGAGAGACACACATCAGGCCCTGAAGTCAACTGTTGTGACTGCCAAATTTCTAGGCCAGGGGTAGGTAGGGAAGGCAAGTCACAAAACACAGCACATGTGTTTGACAAAGGGCAGGGAAAGCAGAGAGCTCCCATCCAAGGCTCCCGGGTAGGGGTGATCACGAAGAAAGGGTTATGGAGACACGTGGGGCTGAGTGGGGAGGAGCCCTCGCCAACTGCCACTATCAACATTCATCTTGGAAGGAAAACAGAGGGCAGTGACCGCCACCACTTACGTGTCACAGAAGTACAATGGGAAGGAAAACCAAGCAAGAGCAAAGGAGGCTCTGTGGATGCGGCAGGTCGACCCCAGCAACAGAACCTAGGGAACTCTGGCTAGGAAGGGCAGTGGAAGGACTGGCCGAGGAGAAAGAGTCTACAGCCTGGTGGCTTCTGTAAGTCACGCCTGGGTACGGTGCCTTCTGTCATGCTTCTGCTGCGGTGTCAAGGAATACATTTACTTAAAGGTCAATGCTTAAGAAAATAAATATAGCTGCCCATTTCCATCAGCTGAAACCAGAGAATAATCTGGCTGTCTTTCGGTGAAGAGCAGGATCTTGTGCTGTCTGCTCTGAAAGGTTTGCTTGTCTCACATCAAGGGATCACATATATTTTGCAAAGAAAAACAATAGCCCTCATTTATAGAGCTGTGGAAATACTATAAAAAAAAGACACTGGGACAGGATATCTGGGAAGCCAGATTATTCTTAAATGCCAAGGGGGAAATAAGGATACAGGAGGATGTGGTCAAACACCATTCCCTGGTTGGGAACCATTAAGGTCAACCCTTTTCCCTCACGTGGTGCCTACAAAATCTTGACACATCATGTCTTTATAGGGGCACAGAACATTTGTCTTTCAAGTGAATTAAAAAATGTTTTCAGGGCTGGAGACGTGGCTCTGTTTAAGCACTGGCTGCTCTTCTAGAAGACTTGGGTTCAATTCCTAGCACCCATATTGGAGACTCTTAAGTCTCTGTAACTCCAGTTCCAGGTGACCCAACACTCTGCTCTGTGGGCAAGAATGTTTTTAATCAAAACCAAATTTCTGTTACCCATGCTTCTGCCCTACTCAAGTTCACCCTGCTATATCTCTTCTACCAGGAAGTGGGGTTCTTCAGGAAGTGACGACCTGTGCAGCATCCAGCACATTGCAACAGCACATGGTGTAAGAGTGTGGTGAGATTTCAGTCTACTGAAAGACTTCGTTTTCCCGACACCTACTGCTGTGTGATTTTGAATTGGTTACTTAGTTTTTTCCTCACTTATAAATTCCTCTCACAATAGTGTTGTTCTGTGGATTAAATGTCTTATATTTAATAATACATTTAATTTTATATATAAATAATATGTAATATATTAACAATTATGGTTTGATAATAATATATTTATACATCCTGAGTTAGCATAATAATAAGGGTTTTGAAAGTGTGGGAAATTATCATTTATGTTCATTAATAGATGGAATTTATTGCCAGGCCATGGTGGCACACGCCTTTAATCGCAGCACTTGGGAGGCAGAGGCAGGCGGATCTCTGTGAGTTCGAGATCAACCTGGTCTACAGAGTGAGTTCCAGAACAGCCAGAGCTATACAGAGAAACCCTGTCTCAGGAAAAAAAGAAAAAGAAAGATGAACTTATTATTCCATCCAATAAATCACTTACTCCCCCAAATATACTGTATCAGGAAGTATTTATCAACCTTAACAGTCACGGCAGCTCTTGCTGTGCACCATGGGATATCTCACAGCATGCCTGTCCTCATACATTAGACACCAGTGGCACACACACACACACACACACACACACACACACACACACACATCCAGCTCCAATAGCCAAGACTGTTTTCAGAGACTGCCAGGCTCTCTAGAGGGGAAAGCCCTCCCTCTTTCATTTACAACTACCGTATTGGAACCTCCAAGGTTAAAAGAGATTCTATTCACCACAGCCCTTAGTTTCCCGACAACCCATCCTCCCCATTTGTTCACCATTCAGATGCCTTGGAGGAAACAGGTTATAGGTGCTATAGATATCATTGGAGAATTGCAACTTGAGCTCAGGGTTCCCCGTTAGGAGCTGGGTCGCGTGTTCTACGTGAAATGGTGTCTTCTCCAGGATCACAACAGCATCTTCTCCATGTGTATCCCCGGAGTCCTCATTCACCTGCAGGCAGAGATATCATCAGTGGGCCCACGGACATCGCCACTAGAAAAGCCTGCATGCCACAAGAAGCGTCCAAAGCCTCTGATTTCCCAGCACTTGGGGCTCGGAAATAGTGGTTAATAAAATGCATTCCATGCAAGTACTGAGAACCGAGTTCCATTCCCAGAACGCATGTAAAAAAAAAAAAAAAAAAAAAAAAAAAGACTGGCAGAACCAGAAGGCAAAGGTAAGTGGACCCCTGCTGGCTAGCCAGCCTAGGCTAATTAGTGAGTTATTCATCGGTGAGAAATCTTATACTAAAAGGCAATACAAGCAAGTAAAAAACAAGACAGAAACAATACCTGAGGTAGACCTCTGACCTCTACATGAACACACATTCAAACACACAAACACACACATGCAAAATAATATGCTCTATATCCTGCAATATTTGGCCAAGATCTCATTCTTTATAAGCAAGTACATCCATCTCATTAGCAGGCAATTTTGTTTACATCTTTAATAAAAATTACGTATACACCAAAAAAATTGTTTAAAAATTTATTTCCAGGCAGTGAAGGCGCATGCCTTTAATCCTGAGTTTGAGGGCGGCCTTATCTATTGAGTGAAACAGCCAGGGCTAAACAGAAAAACCCTGTCTCGAAAAAACAAAAACAAAAAAATTAATTTCCTTATGAGTGAGTCATTATCAGTAAATGTTTGATTTGTATACCTATTGTATATGCCTGTTGTGTTAAACTTTCTCAACACAATGAAGGCACCAGTGGAAAAGTTTCAGGCAGCTCAGTCTAGAGAAACCTTGACATGTGCCTCGACTGTGCCTCCTCAGTGGTTTGGGGTGGTCTCCCACTCTGCTGCTAGACAGCTAAGCGCACGGCGTTAGAGGCAGCAGCAAATCTGCCTCCACAGACGTGCTTCGCAGTCCCGGAACTGTCATCTCCGCATCCCAAGCACACGCCTGGTCCCTGTCATACATGGGAGCGCACGGCGTGTGGAACAGGTTAACAACGTAGGCTGAAGCCACGTGAAGCAGGGACCACACTTTCCAGGGACAGGGGCCAGAGCAAGCATTTGCTGAGTTCCTGGCGCCTTTACACGTAAAAATGAAGGATGATGAATGGCCTGGGGAATTTAACGCGTGGTTTAAAACTGGCAGACGTGTGTAGGGAAGGAGAAACTGGGGAGTTTAGACCTAGATGTGCGCATTCCTTTAATTCCACAGGTCAACTGTCGCCCCATGCATCGCAGTGGTGGAAACTCCACCTTCCCCGAATAACGTGATTGCTAGTGAAAAAAAAAAAACAACAACAACACTGCGCTGTGACGCGAAGATTGGTTCCCTCCCCCTTCCCCCCGCCCCGTGCCTAATGGTACCTTCCCATGCAGGAAAATGATCTTGTCCCGCGCAGACTCCCTCAGTACTTTTTGTACTCTAAAGCCGGAGAACGGTAAGCGGACAGGGGCAGAGGCACCATTGCCGACGCCTGCTTCCTTCTCGTCTGTGCTGGCGGCTTCTGCCTCCTCTGCCTCGGGTTCGCGCTTTCTCTTGAGTTGAGGCGCTGTATCCGCCATGCTGCCCGGGGAAGAGCGGTACGCGCCTGCACGTCCGAGCCGCTGCCCACGCCCCTTTGCGCTTCCTCACAGCCCGTGGGGGCCTGGACTTCAACTCCCGGCATGCTCTGGGCAGGCGAGACCGCTACTCCATTTCCCGGCGTGCCTCGCGTCTCGGGGGGCTTCTGCAGGTTTTGCACCTGTCTGGGTGGAGGGTCTTCTGACGGCCTTTGTAGAGGGGTAAACACAGTAAAAACGCCTTTGAGCTCTGTGTTATGGACCCACAGTGTTAAATAATAATGGTTTACATTACCATCCCTACTCCCGAGTGGGCGTGGAAGGAATGTTTTTAAAATAAACCCACAAGCCATTTTATTTGTTATTTTTTTTAACAGTGGGTATGTAAACCATTTCCCATTTTTCTCCCAGTTTCCTAATTTTACATCAGTTTTTTCTTTTCCTTTATATGTAGACTTGGCCTTTTGTTTTGTTTTTCGAGACAGGGTTTCTCTTTATAGCCTGTCGTGGAGCTCGCTCTGTAGTTCAGGCTGGCCTTGAACTCACAGAGATGGCTTGCTTCTGCCTCCTAAGTGCTGGGGTAAAAGTCATGCGCCACCACACCGCGCGGCTACACTTGGCCTTTTTTGCTGAAAAGAAAAAGTAAGCTAACAGGATGGATCGTGTCTTTCCATCACTTCCTTCTACCCTGGAGGCTTCTTTCTCTAAATTTAGTTTGCCTGTGATTCTGCCCTGCTACCCTGGGATGTGATTTGTATGTTTCTTTTATTGCAGCTGGAGGAGTGGTAATAAAACTTCTAGTTTGTGGGTTTTGTAGGTGTCTTGTGTAGCTAGCCCATTTTTCCTTCCCTTTAATTTGGCAGCTCTAAATATTGTCAAGAACTGATAGTCTGCCAAATGTTATTTTTGTAATGTTTCAGACCAACGTCATGGATGTGGCAAAACTCTTTTCAGTTTTTCATATTAACGATGTAATTTTCAATCTGCATTTTAGTTAGTGACAAAGTATACCAAGTTTTAATAATAGGTTGAGTTTTGGATAGCATTCCGCAGGAACATGAATTGGATATGACTGTTTTAGAATAGAGGAACTTATCAGGGGACCGGAATCTGGTATAATCATTTGCAGTTGCCGCTTGTCCACGGGCTTCCTTGCCTTCAAGAATATACAATCCGAGGTTACCAATTACATGCAAGACCAGGAAGAAATGTCCCACGTGGCCAATGACATTAGCAAACCCTACTCAGTTCAAGGACTTTTTTTTATGAAAATATCTGAACATTTTTCCAACTCAGGAAAATGAGAAAAAAATGGCCCAGCATGATGATACCTGTGTTCAGTACCAGCACTCCATAGGCAGAGACGGGTGGATTGCTGAGGTCCAGCCAGAGCTACACAGTGAGACCCTGTTTCTTGAAACAGTAGTTTGGATATATGTAGCCAAATGAGGAAAGAAACTAACTTCAGAATCGAGTCCAAATTGTAGGTACATATGTCAAAAACAATGAGTTAGCACTTTACTAATAGATATCATTTTCTTTCCTTTCTCCCTTTTTTTTTTTTTTTTTTTTTTGAGGCAGGTCTCACCAGTTATTCTGGTCTAGCCTGGAATTTGTTATGTAGACCAGGCTGCCTTTAAATTCACAGATCCGCCTGCCTCTGCCTCCCCAGTGCTGGGATCAAAGGTGTGTGTCATCATACCACATCCACATATTGTAAAATAAGTTTGTTATTTTTTAAATTAAACTTGGAATGATAGTGTGCATGAATCCAAGTATAGTGATTAGTTATACAGACTCCTCTTTCTAAATCTGCTTTGCTGGAACCCTTGATGAGGGCTTTTGTGTTAGATGTGTGTGCACACATGTGTCCAATGGGGATTGAACCTTGAACAGGTAAGCATGTCCTCTGCCACAGAAACACACCCCAGTCCTGAGTAGGCTTCTAACTTCTGGAGAGAGAAACCAGGTCAAGTGCTCATCGAACCCCACCGGTAGTGCCTGTGTGAATTCCTGTCTTGACACCCCTGGGCCTGGCAGAAAGCAACAGTCTTTATTCATCACAATCCTAGGTGTTACTGCCTAGAGTAGAAGTCATAAGTAAAGGCACTATTTAAGAGTTGGTTTGGGCTGAGCATTGGAGGCGCACGCCTTTAATTCCAGCACTCGGGAGGCAGAGACAGGTGAATCTCTGTGAGTTTGAGACCAGCCTGGTCTAAAGAGTGAGTTTCAGGACAGTCCTCAAAACTACAGAGAAACCTGTCCTGTTTTTGACAGTGACAAGGTGTGACAGTGCCCTCTAGTGAATTTAGCAGTTTGCTTCTCCTAATATGGAATTACATACTCAGAAAAACCTGCTGTTTCTTACATTATTTCAGAGACAATTGTAAATCTGGAACAATAATAAATGTTGGGATTTTGTTTTATTTGTGTTTTGGTTATTTGAGACAGGCTGGCTTCAGAACCCAACATGAGTTCAGGCATGCACTAAAATAGCTTGTGTTTGGGGTATTCATTCATTCATTTATTGCATATGTGCTGATATGCAAAAATAATAATAAAACATTATCTCTCAATGGGTACAAAGCTATAAGGAGAAAAATGGTTCTGTACATGGGATAAAACACTATAAATTCAAAACTTACAGATAAAGATTAGTGCTACCAACTCATCTCTTTAAATTTTTTTCATTAATTTCCAGTCAAAACCAACAAGCTATCTCTTTTGAAATTTTATTTATGCAGACTCAACCCAAAAAGAAGAGAGATCTGTGCTATCCAGTAAGGGGGTATAGCCCACATTATCGGCCATATTCCCAAGGGCCTTAACCCATTGGTTGGCCACTTGGGGCCTCAGAGCCTCTTTGTGTCTCTACTAGACAGAAAACTGAAGGAGCACACTGCATAAAACAACACAGGGAACAGAAGTCAAGCTGGGTTTATAAATAATTCAACAAGTCAAGCCTTTGGGTACGGTGTTATGTGCCCATAATTCCAGCACATGGGAGGCAGAGGCAGGAGAATCATGAATTGATGGCCAGCCTGGAATACATAGAGTGACCCTGTCTCAGACAACAAAAACACCAAAAAACAAACAAAAAACAAACCCCACAATTTTTATAAGTTATTTCCCGGAGCTAAGGGGAAAAAATCTTACCGAGGAAAGGCATTCATGGTGGTTTATGAACTTCAGCTTTGGATTGGCCAGGTGGTTCAGCAGGTAAAAGTGCTTCTTGCCACACAAGCCTGGTGACCTGAGTTCCAACGCAGATCCCATTGGTAGGGGAACGCTGACTTGGAAAAGTTGTTCTGATATCCATACATGTGCTGAGATGTGATATGAGTAGTCATGAATTCACAGGCACCTGTGCGCACATACACAATATTAATAATAGACATGTTTTGCTGGGTGTTGGTGGCGCACGCCTTTGATCCCACCACACAGGAAGTAGAGGCAGGTGGATCTCTGTGAGTTCGAGGCCAGCCTGGTCTACAGAGCAAGTTCCAGGACGGCCTCCAAAACAATATAGAGAAACCCTGTCTCTAAAAAACTAAAAAAAAAAAAAACAAAAACAAAAAACAAAAACATGTTTCTAAATAACTTTAACTTTGCTTTAGTTTGATCCCTGTTTAAATGGAGACTTGTTTTATATACTCTCTGAATGCTTCCATTCGACACACAGTTTATACCTCCAAGGGACCAAGAGAGACCTAGAAAACAGCATGCAATGCTCGCTTGCTTGCTTTTTCATCTTTCTGGGAAGGGCTAGCTAGAGGACTCAGCAGGTAAAGGCCCCACCCCAGAGAGCCTGAGTTCAATAGCTAGACCCCACAGAAAGGTGGACGAAGAGAAGCAGCCCCTCTTACCTCCACATGTGTGCGGGGCACGCTCACACGCCTCCACACACCACCACATATTAAAAACAATGGTGGCAAGTTTTTATAAAGTCTTACAAGGAAGTTGAAATACTTTGGATGAGCATTCAAACTTTTTTAACTTTTGCTTTCTGGTTTGAATTCAAAGTATTTTAACTTTTGCTTTCTGATTTGAATTCAAAGTATTTTAACTTTTGTTTTCTGATTTGAGCTCAAACTTTTTTAACTTGCTTTCTGATTTGAGCTTAAACTTTTTTAACTTTTGCTTTCTGACTTGAGTTCAAAGTATTTTAACTTTTGCTTTCTGATTTGAGTTCAAAATTTTTTAACTTTTACTTTCTGATTTGAGTTTAAATTTTTTTAACTTTTGCTTTCTGACTTGAGTTCAAAATATTTTAACTTTTACTTTCTGATTTGAGCTCAAACTTTTTTGACTTTTGTTTTCTGATTTGAGTTCTTTAATTGTACCATGGTTGTATTAAGGGAATCCTTAAGACTCCTTTTATATTTATTTTTATATAAGTTTTTATTACATTTATTTATGGGGTGCTATATGTGCACATGCCTCAGTGCTCAGGCAGAGACAGGAAAATCGCTGCAAGTTTGAAGCCTAGTCTACACAACAAATACCAGGTCAGCCATTGCTACACAGTGAGACACTGTCCCAAAAACAAACAAGAAAAGAAAATTTTTTTTTGGTTTTTCGAGACAGGGTTTCTCTGTATTGCTTGGGGGCTGTCCTGGAACTCACTCTGTAGAGCAGGCTGGCCTCAAACTCACAGAGATCCACCTGCCTCTGACTCCCAAGTGCCGGGATTAAAGGTGTGTGCCACCAACGCCTGGCAAGAAAAGAATTTTAAAATAAAATCTGAGGCTGGAGAGATGGCTCAGCCGTTAAAGGCTAGGCTCACAACCAAAAATATGAAAATAAAATCTGAGGCCTATGTGAGAACAAAGGAATACATATGCTTTCTTCTGCCATTCAGAATGTGGAAAAGAAGGAATAAAGTGGTTTTTTTTTCTTTTTCTTAAGATTTATTATTTCCTTTTTAAAAGATTTATTTATTATGTATACAGTGCATGTATGCCTGCAGGTCAGAAGAGGGCACCAGATGCCATTGTGCATGGTTGTGAACCATCATCATATGGTTGTGGGAATTGAACTCAGGACCTCTGGAAGTGTAGCCAGTGCTCTTATCCGCTGACACATTTCTCCAGCCCCATGTTTTGTTTTGTTTTGTTTTCATCTGCTCTGACTGGGTTATGATTTTAGTGAGCCCACAGGTCTGTATGTTGAAGGTTTGTTCCCAGTGTGATGGCACTGAGGGAGTGATTCTTTAACAGGTGGAGCTGACTTGTCTTAGGGTTTCTATCGCTGTGATGAGATACCATGACCAAAAGCAACTTGGAGAGGAAAGGGTTTGTTTTATCTTACATTTCCAGGTAAATCCATCACTGAGGGAAGTCAGGGTAGGAACTTAAACAGGGCAAGTCCCTGGAAACAGGAGCTGACGCAGAGACCATGGAAAAGTGCTGCTTACTGACTTGCTTTCCATGGGTTGTTTAGACTGCTTTCTTATAGCATCCAGGATCACCAGCCCAGGGGATGACACCATCCATCAAGGTCTAGGTCCTTCCATATCAATCATTGATCAAGAAAATGTACCATAGGCTTACCCACAGGTCAATCTGGTGTGGGTATTTTCTCAATTGAAGTTCCCTCTTCCAAAATAACTTCAGCTTGTGTCAAGTACATATAAAACTAGTCTGTGATAAGATATCATAACCAAGGAAACTTAAAGAGGAGTTTATTTGGGGCTTATAGTTTCAAAAGGTTAAAATTCCTGACCATTGCAGAAGGGGGCATGGCATGGTGCTGGAGCAATAGCTGAGAGCTCACATCTTGAGACCCATGAGGCAGAAAGAAAGAGACACTGGGAAAGATGAGAATCTTTTAAAACCTCAAAGCCCAATCCCAGTGACACACCTCCTCCAACAAGGCCACACCTCCTAATCTTCCACCAATTGGAGACCAAGTATTAGATTATAAAAGTCTGTGGGGGCCACTCTCATGCAAACCATCACACTTCTGGAAGGCTGTTAGGTCATCGTAGTGCTGTTCTCGGAGGGACTTAATGTATTTTTTCCTTTGTGGGCCTGGGGTTAGAACACAGGGGTCAGTGCATGCTCGGGAAGAGCTCTAATACACCCTCCTACAGATTCTTTCTTGCAGTCAGTTTTTATGAGAAAAGCTTATTATAAAAACACTGTGCCTGACCTCCCAAATCTCTCGATTTCTGCCTTTCCATGAGATCTTATACCTGAATACTCTTGTCATTATGATGTCCCATGTCAAGAGGCTACTATCATCAGAGAGGTAGCACAGATGTGGCCACCTTATCCAAGACTTCAGTTTCCAAAACCAAGCTAGATAAACTACCTTACAAAAGACCTTGGCTCAGGTATCTTGTTATAGATCAACATGTCTTCTTCTTAGGTAGGTACTACAGCTAGAAATTTGATAAGAATTCTTACATTTTTCAAAGCTGTGTATGATGATGTACACTTGTAACCCCAGCACCCTGGAGGCAGAGACATGAAGATCAGCCACAAGTCTGAGGCTATCCTGATCTACACCATGAATCTGAGGACAGTTAAGGGCAAGGTAGTGAGAGCCTATCTCAAACAATTAGCCCTCAGTGGTTAAAATGATATATATAATTACATATATGAATGAATATAGTTTCTGGTATTTGAATACTTGATTCCTGGTTGGTGGAACTTTTGGGGAAGGATTAGGAAGTGTGACCTCCTGGAGGAAGTATGTCACCAGGGGCAGGCTTTGAGAGCTTAAGGCTGAAGCCTGCTTCCAGTTGCTCTCTCTGCCAGCTGCCTGTGGTTCAAGGTGTGAGTCTTCAGCATCCTACTCCCTGTCTTCTGCTTGCTGTGATGGACCTTCTGGAACCATAAGCCCAAATAAACCCTTCCTTTTGTAAGTTGCTTTTTGTCATGGTGTTTTATCACAGCAATATAATCTCATGTTCATAATTGGGAATATATCTGTATGAAATAACAGATTAAACTGGGTATGGTGGCTCACACCTTTAATTCTAGCATTTGGAAGTTGAGGTGGGAGGACCACCAAATGTTTGAGTCCAAAAAGTCTCTGAACTATCCTCATGGAATGGGGTTAAATCCAGTCAGATGTTGGTTGTTTACTCCCACAAACTTTATGCCACCGTTGCACCAGCAGAGCTAGTTCATTTCAAACCTCACCTTAGGTGATTTTGGAGTTACCAGCATCAAAGTCTGTATAGATTTTCTCTTGTGCAGTTTTGATTTCCCAGAATAGTTAGTTCTCTAGTCTTCTGCTTAGGAGACAGAAGCACCTTACTACCAGTCAAATACAAATCAACTCTAGTAGGGCCAGGACAGACCGTTGCAGCACTTGAACCTGCCCTAAGAAGAGAAACAGATGACTCCACAGGCACCCATTCAACCTTTCCCACATGACTGACATGATTTCCCTGTCACCTGACTTCAAAATCAAGTTACTCAACTAATGTAGTTCAATCTACTTTTTAATGCTTTTAGTAATGGAGAAATCGCAGCCAAGATTGTCCCAGTTTTTGCCAAACAGCCTGTAGAATCTTTAGGATATATAAAAACATAAAATTAGCCGGGCGGTGGTGGCGCACGCCTTTAATCCCAGCACTTGGGAGGCAGAGGCAGGCGGATCTCTGTGAGTTCGAGGCCAGCCTGGTCTATAAGAGCTAGTTCCAGGACAGCCTCCAAAGCCACAGAGAAACCCTGTCTTGAAAAACCAAAACCAAAAAACCAAAAAAAAACAAAACAAAACAAAACAAAGATAAAGATAGAGTGATTTAGACGAGCAAGAAGAGTGGGAAGAATTGGTCCACAGGGTATTAGGACCTTTTTAGTTTATTTATTTTTATGTGTATTGGTATTTTGCCATGGATGTTGGGTCCCCTGCAAATGAAATTGCAGACAGTTGTGAGTGGCCATGTGGATAGTGGGAATTGAACGTGGGTCCTCTGGAAGAGCAGCCAGTGCTTTTAACCACCGAGCCATCTCTCCAGCCCAGTAGTACGGCTTTTTAAAAGACACTGTAGCACTAACAGTGTATACTTGAAAGAGACTAGAGAAACAGCAACAGACACATACATGACAGTAGGCAGCAGCAGTAGCTGGGTCTGATGGCACACGCCTTTAAACCCAGCGCTGCACTATGGAGACAGGCAGACAGATCACTATGAATTTGAGACCAGCCTGGTTTACATAGTGAATTCTTGGCAAGCCTGGAATACATAGTGAGATCCTATCTCAAACAAACAGAAAACAGTTATCAGCGGTGATAGGAAAGATCACTGAGTAACTGATAGAAACCGAGAGAAAAGAATTGGATTTCTGACTTGAAAACCAAGAGCAAGCCAGGCATGGTAGCTTATAATACCTGAAATGCCAACATTTGGGAAGCTGAACTAGAAGGATCTCAAGTTTGTGGTCAGTCTGGGCTACAGACCCTGTTTCAAAAAAACCAAGAAGAAAACAATAGAAAGCAAAACAACCCCAAGTGGAATCAAGATCTAAATATGAATAGAAATACTTTGAAAGAAAATATAACCAACTTTCTTCTTTTCAAGATTCAGTTTAGAAGGTAGGAATAACACATGGAGAATTTTATAAGACACACAAAAACACAGACTACATCTTCATAGACAGTATTTTATATTAAGATTAAAATGTAACATTCTTGTGTTTAAAAAAGAAACCCTCATGGTCTGGTGTTGGTGGCACAAGCCTTTAATTCCAGCACTGAGGAGGCAGCGGCAGGCAGATCTCTGTGAGTTTGAGGCCAGCCTGGTCTACAGAGCAAGTTCCAGGACAGCCTCCAAAACAATACAGAGAAACCCTGTCTCAAAAAACAAAAACAAAAACAAAAAAACCCTCATGATTTAGAGGTATATAACTATATGGTTAGGGGGAAAGTACCTGAAATTTGTGTTAAAACGATCTTAGAGCAGTGGTTCTCAACCTTCCTAACACTGCGACCCTTTAATACAGTTCCTCATGTTATGGCAACCCCCAGCCATTATTTTCATTGCTACTTCATAACTGTAATTTTTCTACTGTTATGAATCATAATGTACCTGACATACAGAATATCTGATATACGATATGAAAAGATTGTTCAACCCACAGGCTGAGACCCACTAACCTAGAACAAAAGGAAACTCATGAGTGACAGACACATCAACATGGACATATCTCACAAACATGTCAAACATAAGAGATAAAGTCATAAAATATAAATAACATTTTGCTGGGGTGCATTTATCTATAGAAACTTCATGCAGAAAAGCTCAAGTTGTTGTTTTCTTAAGAAACATGAGGGGCCTGGAATTCAGAACACAAAGGGAACAAGCATGTTGGGAATAAGGCTTTCTTATTGTATTTTTTTATATTTAGGTGGTAGGTGCATGAGTATGATATAGTATCCTTTAGAACATTTTGTATATAACCAAAAAAGTCATAATTCAAAAATAATTTGTTTCCAGTAAAGGGACATGGCAAAAAGAGGCTCAAGGTACATACCAGGGGAGACCATGACAACGGACCATGTTTCTGTCCTTATTGAGAATATAGGTGACACCTTACCTCTCCCTGGGAATGCACATTGGTGCTAGACTGAGAGCATTGGTTCCTCTCAGTTCGATATAAAGGCAGGTGCTATGAAGCATGGGCAGACATCAGAGGAGGGCCTACGTGTCCAAGGTCACTGGGTTTTGGTCCAGGTGAAGAAGCTGCCCCCCCCACCTTTCCTTCTCCCTACTTATTATTCAGAATGGCTTCTGGGTTTGTTTCCTTTTCATTTTGATGGTGCCGGAAGTCGAACCCGAACCCTCATACATGCTAAGCAAACGTTCTACCACCAACTCCACCTAGAGCCCTAGATTTGCATTTCTAATTTTAAAGAAAGATTTCTTTATTGTATGATTGTCTTGCTTACATGAATGCATGTGTTCCATATGTGTGCCCCATGCCCAAGGAGACCCTGGTCAGAGCTACCATGTGAATACTGGGAATTGAACCTGGATCCTCTGCAAAGGTAACAAGAGTTCTTAACCACTGAGCCATCTCTCCAGACCCTAGGTTTGCTTTTTTTTTTTTCTGAGATAGAGTTTCTCTGTGTAACAGCTTCAGCTGTCCCCAAACTCAGAGAGATCTGCCTGCATCCGCCTCCTAAAGGCATGTACCACCAACCTGGCTAGGTCTGCATTTCAAATGACATTTGTTCAGTAAGTGAGAGTCAGCATGGGGCTGGAGGTGCCTTTCACCCAGCCTTATAAAGTGAGTTGACGCCTCTGGGACAGAACTACAGTAGTGTGGATGTGAAGGACCTGAGACCTGCTGCCTCTTCCGCTTCCCTAGGCATCTGGGAGGAGCACTAACTTCATTCATCAGTCAGGCTCTCCCCTCATGAGGAGTGGCACCTGCTTACCCCAGTGCCTGATTCTGGGACAGACAGCGGGGTGTCAGTTTCCTGTCCAGTTAAGCAGCAGTCAAGACGCTGCTGACCCTCCTCATACCACAGTCTCTTGACAACTCCAAATTCTGACTTCCTCGTTGCCTTCCTGGGGGAGTCCCTGGCTTCCTCCTGTTCTTCTTGGGGAGTCCCCATCTTCCTCCTGGTCTTCTTGTGGGGGGTCCCCATCTTCTGCCCGGCCTTCCTGTGGAGCCCACAGTAAGGGAAGCTGGTGGCAATCTGATCCTGTGTGATGTACAGAGTGCACTGGCTCTGGCTCCCAAAGCCCTATCTAATGGGATCCAGCACCTGGTGTGCGATATTTCCAGCTTTTGTCAGGAAAACTTGTGTCAGCTTAATGTTTCCAGATCTGAAAAAAACCAAAGAGAATCACAAGGCTCGTCACTCTTCCCAAACCCAATGTTTCTCCCCATCATGTCCTCCTCTTCTGTTGTCAGCAGGTTTTTTCTACCCCCTACAGTGTGTCCCTCCCACTACACTTCAGGCTGCTCTCCCCCCCCCCACAGAGACACACACACACACAATTTTACAGTGCTAAACTGATGTCACTCCTGATATCCACCCAGCTCCTGGAACACACCTCTAATCCAATTTCAGAGAGAAACCTATTACGACCACTCATACTATTTGCTAGTTAATATCAATTGTGCCAGGCCCTGTCTGTCATGAATACTGGACATGTGCTCATTCTACAGAAATGGAGTCCTAATGAACAACGAAAGAGCCATGGTTCAGAGGGGCTAAGTAGCATGCCCAAGTAACTCAAATGCTAACGGGTGAAGGTGCCAGAGTAGAAATCCAGTCTTCTCCAGAGGCTCTTCCAATCACTGGAACTACAGGGACCATCTCCTAAAGTCCTTATATAGACTCGGGCTGACTCCTCACCCCCTCCAGGCCCTCCTGTGTCTTACAGCGCATGACAGCCTCCTTGACTTGGTAAAAGCCACCATCCCGGCCTCTGCCATCCACATAGTACATGAATCGGAGCTCCGGCGGATAGGCGGCTCTGGTCAGGCCAGACAGCAGGGGTATAGTGCAACCCTCTGCCCCCGGGGCCTCCGTCAGGGCCTGCAGCATCTGGTACTTGCACCACGGGTCCCGAAGGAAGCCTGAGGTGATGAGTAGCACACGGCAGTGACTACTACTCAGTGCCTGGCACAGCTCAGAAACGATGGCGCCACCCGGGGTTGCATCCCGAAGCTGCAGGAAGCAGCGTAGGCTGGCCTGGCTACCCTCCAAGTAGGAGACCAGCTCCTGGGCAGCCTCTAGGTCCTCCTCACTGTGGCACACGCAGACGTCATAGTCTTTGCTCCAGCGACCACTACTGCAGCTGGTGTCCTTCTGTGTTGGTTGCAGGGTAGGAGCCATTCCTGAACTGCAGCTCGGGTGTGAGTTGTAGCTAGGGGGCGAGCTGCAGCTAGGGGGCGAGCTGCTGCTCTGGGGTGGGAGACCGTCCTGTGCGGCTGTCTGTAAACCTTCACTGGGGTGGCTTTCCTCGGAGACATCCATCTTCTTCGGCTTCTTCAACAGAGCCTGTCTGAACCAGTCTGAGGGGAGAAACACATAGATGAGACTTTCTGCCTGCAAGCTGAAGCCCCTCCCCCAAGGAAAATGGGCGGGACTTTGCCAGCTTCACCAAACCCTCTGTGTTACTGCCCTGCTGTTAGGCACACCCATCAGGTCTTGCCTAAGAGTTCCCTGCTATCTTTAAAGGTTCCCCAATACTGAGAGAACTCGAATCCTGTCCTTGTGTTTTATCAGCCCAACTAAGAAAGGCGGCCTTAATGGGGTCACCATGGTGAGATAGAGTTTGTTGTAATCTAGCTACCCAGGAGGCTGAAACAGTGAGAGGTTAGCAGTTCAAGGACAAGCAGGAAAAAACAGTGAAGTTTTTTTTTTTTCCCTTCTTTTTCTTTTTTGAGACAGGGCTTCTCTGTGTAATAGCTCTGGCTGTCCTGGAAGTCGTTTTGTAGACCAGGCTGGCCTTGAACTCACTTGAGATCCACCTGATCCACCTGCCTCTGCCTCCAAAATGCTGGGATTAAAGGCATGCGGCACCACCACCAGGCTTGAGATCTTAAAAATAAAGTAAAATTTGTTATGCATGGTGGCCCATGCTTTTAATCCTAGCACCTGGGAGGCAGAGGCAGGTGGATCTCTTAAGTTTGAGGCCAGCCTGGTCTACAGAGTGAATTCCAGGCCAGCAAGAGCTACATAGTGAGACTCTCTCTGAAATACATTTTTAAATTAGAACAAAACAATTTATTTAACTATAAATTAATAATTTAACCATAAAACAAAATACAGATGGCCTTGTTCTGTTGTAGATCATTCGATATCTGCTACTCAGAGCCCACTTTAATCAGAAGGCTCTGAAGCCTGAGTAGTTAACTGCCTGTGTGAGTTGACAAAGAACTTCATCTACAGATCAGGATTAGTCAAGCCCAAGGCCTAGCCGCAGCCCTGAGAGGAGGTGAAGTTAGATCGCAGAAAGAATGGAAAGGGCCAGGAAGATGGGTACAGTGATATATGCTGTAATCCCAGAATCTGGGACAGGGAAGCAGAGGACCAGAATCAGGGTCAACCTCAACTGCAACGGCAAGTCCAACACAGCCTGGGTAACACACATGAGTAGCCAATTAAGAGAAAGGGCCTGGGGCCTGGACTCTGTTCTGTGGCTCAGAGGACGAGGGCTGTTAGTCAGAGCTCCAGTGCAGCACAGAGCTTCTTAGAAGCCACCCTTCGGCCAGGCCTGGACTTGACTGAAGACCTGACATACCCCTTGCTCTATAACCTTATGCAAATTGGCCTCGATCTCCATTTCCTCATCTATAAAATGAGTTTGTTTAGTTCTTTTTTTGTTTTGTTTTGTTTTGTTTTTTTCGAGACAGGGTTTCTCTGTATTGTTTCGGAGCCTGTCCTGGAACTCACTTGGCAGACCAGGCTTGGTCTCGAACTCACAGAGATCCACCTGCCTCTGCCTCCCGAGTGCTGGGATTAAAGGCATGCACCACCACCGCTGAGTTTGTTTAGTTCTTGAAGGTAAATTGTAAGTACTTCATAATAGTAGAACTCAGCTGTACTGGGGATTGTTTCATTATTTCTTTCCTTGTTTCCTCTCTCTAAACAGTTCTGGGAAAGGATTCAGATGACAAGATCCACCATGTTAAACATTCGGCACAATGCTTTTCAGGCCAAGCAGGTTAGAAAACATCTGAAGCAAACAAAGGCTTGCAGAACCCAGCGTGCACGCCTTATTCCTCCCTCCCCATGAGGTCTCAGCAGCAGCTGTGGCTTTCTGCATCTCTCCTCTGTGTTTGGACAAGGCAGCCTTCTCCCCTCACCAGCAGCCTGGGGAGTACCATCTTAGAAACCAGAGCATAACTAGGAGACTGGCTCCACTCACCAGCTATCTTGCCTCGAGGCTTCTTGGACTGAGTGGCTGGGATGGGGGAGGATGAAGCCATAGCTCAGGCCTCCAAATTAACCCTGGGAGAGCATGCATTGGGAGAGCAGCAGGAGCGGGTAGAGCCATGGAACAGCCATCCTGCAAGGGACAGAGAAGCACAACAGTGGTGCTTACTTACCTGGGAGTTCTGCTTTTCTACTAGTCCCTAATGACTCAGTCTCTAACCAGGGAGACGAGCCAGAGCTGTGACGTGTGACTTACAAGGTAGGAGCTTGGTAGAGTAACTGTTCTCTGCTTCACTTGGCCAGGAGTGCATCTGGGATCTGGGAAAACATAGAGAAGACAGGCAGCCTTTAGAAGGACTTCCTGTGTCAATGCTGACGGGAGCGGGACTGGTCCTTTGGACAGGCAGATGAGTGTTAAGCAGCAGGAATACTTGAAGCAAGTCTTGCTACATTTCCCCTGTCTGTCTTCCCCTAACCCCCATCCATCCACTCACCTAGCCCTTACCTGTCAGCTAGGGAAACAACTATACGTAGATTGCATGGATTTGCACCTCATGCTGACCATGGCCTTCAACACTCTTTTTAGGCTTTGGTGTCTCCATCTGTGATGCTAGAAACTGCAATTCAGCATTACCATGTGAATAACATGAAGTAACTTGTATAATATACTACCAGTACCTCGTGGATAAAAATTGTTAAGAAAGTACTGTGGATTAGTATGTTCTTATCCAGATGTGGTAGCATACACTTGTGGTCTCAGGAGGCTGAGGCAGGTGGATTATTTGTATCTATGAGTTTAGATCAGCTTCAGACATCTATTTAGACCCTATCCTTTCTTGTTGTTGCCCTCCATGTCCCTCCCCCCCAGTGTTTCTGTCTAACAGCTCTAGCTGTCCTGGAACTTGCTTTGTAGACCAGGTTGGCCTCGAACTCATAGGGTTACACCTACCTCTGCCTCCCCAGTGTTGGGATTACAAGTGTGCACCACCACCCATCTTGAGACCATATCTTAAAAGAAAACAAGATGGGTGGTGGTGGTGTATGCTCTTAATCTCAGCAGAGATTTAATCTTGGAAGGCAGAGGCAGGCGGATCTCTGTGAGTTCAAGGCCAGCCTGGTCTATAGACCAGGACAGGCTCCAAAGCTACACAGAGATTCTGTGGGGGCAGAGCCTGTTCCAATTCAGGAGAGTTCTAGCAATTCTCCAGCCAAAGGGCTGGTAAAGAACTGGATTCAGGAGCTATGAGTAACAAACACAGGGTTGCTGTCTGGCTTTTTGCTGGATCTGTAGAAGTCATAAAGAAAGTTCCTCTGGGAATTCATAGAGAAAATAAATCTGATGATTAGATACACTGTAATCAGAAGCTTCAAAAATTTTAAATGTACATCTCATCTGGCAGTGGTGGTGGTGCACGCCTTTAATCCCAGCGCTTGGGAGGCAGAGAGAGATGGATCTCTGAGTTTGAGGTCAGCTTTGGTCTACAAAGCAAGTTCTACTATAGCCAGGGCTCTGCAGAGAAAACCTGTCTCAAAAAACCAAAACAAAGCAAATACATTTTTAAAAATGTGAGTCTGTGTTGGACATTAATGAACACGTACCAGAGCTCAAAAAGCAACCCTGCTGCAGCAACGGAGGCAATGTGGTGACTGATCTTAATTGTTGGCCTGATTAGAATGAGAAATGCCTAGAGACTAGGTCAGCACTCCCATGGGGGTATTTGTGAGGGTGCTCCCGGAGATGATTAGAACACAGAGGCTGATGTAATGGATTCAGCAGTCCCTTGATGGATTCATAATTTGGTGACATGACTGGGAGGTGTGAAGGTGGACGTGTAGCCTAGCTGGGGAAAGCAGGTCCCTGGAGGTGTTTCCGTGCTGGCTAAAGCATGCCCTGTCCCCTTTCTGTATTCTCTGTTTCATAGCCACCGGGAGCCACACTGCTCTGCTCCCCCAAACCCTCCCACCATGAAGAGGTAAACCCTCTGAAACCATGAGCTTTATATAGCACTCCCCTGTAAGTAATTCTCAAGGTATCTGTCTGACAAACAGAACCAAAAGGAGGGGAAAGAGTGCAGGACTCGGAGAAGCCACCTGAAAGAGAACAGTGGTCAGACCACGCAGGAGGATGCTCGATCGGTTGGCATGAGCTTTGTTCCTCCCTCGTGTTCTCTAGGTTCCTGCAAGCTAAGTGACAGGTGGCCTGTTCCTGGTCAGGGGCTGCTAACTCTACTCATGAGACCATTCAAGGTAGCTCTTCCGGGGGCTGGGGAGATAGATGGCTCAGTGCTCAAGAGAGCTTGCAGCTCCTTCAAGACAAACCCCGTTTGGTTCCCAGCTCCCACATGGGTCACAGCTGCCTGTAACTGTAGCTGTCCTCCAAGGACATTTCCCCACACATGGCATACACTAGCACACAAATATGCACATAAATAAAAAACAAATAAATCTTAAAAGTAATAAATAAAGATGTCTTTTTCCCCTGGCAGTACTTACAAGATCACTTAACTTTAATACTCTCTAAAGATTTTCTCAAGTTTTGTTTTAATAGAAAACATATTGTTTGCCCTTGATACAAACTGGAAGATTTAAAAAAATGATATACTAACATTTACGACAACATAAAGATAGTACAAAAACAAAAAAAATCACACTATATGGTATTCAACTTGAATAGATAGATGTAAAAGTTTTCTGAAACAGGTCTGGGAGTGTAGCTTAAGGATAGAAAAAAGGAGGGGGAGGGGAAGGAAGAGGATGAGAAAGGGAATACAAGGAAGGAAGCAAGTAGGTTTCTGAAATAACTTACCATTTTGAGCAACTGCCTTTTTTATTGCTTCAGAAAAAAAGAAAACAAACAATCAAAAATTCAGGCTGGAGATACAGCCCTGAGGTAAAATGCTTGCTTAGCATGCACAGATGAGTCTAGCACTGTGGAGGTAAGGGGAAGAAGGGTGAGAGAGAGAAGGAGAAGAAGAAAGAGGAGCAGGAGGAGAATTGAGTGAATTGTTCAATAGTGTATCCACTGGAAGCAGGGCTGGGTGGGCTGGGTGGGCTGCGTCTTTTAACTGTCATTCTGGAAAAGTGTGAGCATAGGAAATAACACCATCTCTGACAGGATAATTGTGCAAGATGGCAGATAAGTTCCAGTAACATGTACTTCCTGGATAAAACCTCATGAACCTTCCTTTTTCATTGTAAATTCGTTTGCAGCCAAGGCTGGGGAGCAATCTGACATGACTTAACTTTTCCGAGACGCAGAGTGACAGTCACCGCATAGCAAGTCACACACGTCAAGTAGATAAGAGAGAATCCAAACCTCCAGCTGCAAGGTCTAATCACTAGCTCTGTCTAGTCTCTGACTCGCTGGGGCTCATAAGAAGTTATGTTTTAGCACTCAGGAGGCAGAGTTCGAGGCCAGCCTGGTCTACAAGAGCTAGTTCCAGGACAGCCTCCAAAACAATATAGAGAAACCCTGTCTCAAAGAACCAAAAAAAAAAAAAAAAGTCATGTTTTCTTTTCTAAACGCATAGAGCAGAATGACATGTACCCAAAGACCCACTTTATAGAAAATAGCATAGATTTCATGCAAAATTAGCAAGGAGCTCTATCAAAAAAAGAACCAGCATAAGAACTGGGCATGGCGGCACGTGCCTATAATCTCATTACAGATTTAGGAAACTGAGGCAGGAGGATCACTTCTAGTTCAAGGCCAGCCTGGGCTACATAATGAAGCCCAGTCTAGCTTGGGCTATAAATTGAAACCCCTCTTTAACAAAACAAAATAGATAAAATACACACACACACACACACACACACACACAACAACCCCACTAGGAAAAGCAAAACAAAATACAAAGATACTCCTGGAGACTCTTACTAGGTTTATGAGTTTTCTAGAAAATTCCGATACATGAAAGCATTAGTCTAAACATTAAACTATGTATATGTGTGTGTGTGTGTATATATATATACTTAATGTAATATTTTATGTGTATATGCATATAAAATACGCATGCATAAACACATAAATACACATTATAATATATATTTAAGATGGATTCTTGCTATGTAGTCTATGCTAGTTTTAAATTTGCAATCATGGCTAAGAATAGCACTGACTGCCGGGCGGTGGTGGCGCACGCCTTTAATCACAGCACTCTCGAGGCAGAGGCAGGCGGATCTCTGTGAGTTCGAGGCCAGCTTGGTCTACAGAGCGAGTTCCAGGACAGCCTCCAAAACAGTTATACAGAGAAACCCTGTCTTGAAAAACCAAAAAAAAGGAATAGCACTGACTGCTCTTCCACAGAACCCTGTTTTGATTTCTAGCACCCACATAGTAGCTCACAACCATCTATCAGTGTGTGACACCACATCAGGCCTTGTTTATACAAGCAGTGAA